ACACACACACACACACACACACACGCGCACAATGTTGTTGCTGCTCTATTAAAGCCTAGCCAGGGAGCACCCCACCCTGAGGTGTAACCGTTCAAAACCTGCTCATTTTACCCCAAACTTACTGCCCTTGTCCTGACTGTCCCAGAGTCATGAACTCTTTGTGACCGACAGAGGACGGAGGGCCTTTGCCCCATCAGCCTCATGAGCTCATTGGCCTCCAGGCCTTGCTATACAGCCTGAGTGGCAGTGTGTGTCTCTGCCAGGTCCACCCCTCATTCCCATTGGTGGTGCAGAAAGGGGAGTGCCAAAGAGGCTTCTGGAACTTGGAGAGCTGTCCCAGGTCATGGCAGAGAGCCTCGACCTTGACTTTGCGTGACTAGAAGAGAAGTAACCCAGGGAAAAGACAAGACGGTTTCATGGTGGGTGGGGCGTCCCCAGAGCCAAATCCAAGCCATGTGTCACAGTGAGGAGTGTCTTGAAAGGGAGGAGGACTCTGGAGGAATGTGGAAGCTGGAATCCATGTGTCAGGTTGAGTTCACCAATGCTCAAACGTGGGTTTGTTGTGTTTTGAGGTATACGTAATGTCTTCAATGAAAAAAACCAAGCAAGCGCACTTGAATTTCCACTACACCCTCCCGCTACCAGGCAGCACTGACAAACCCACTCTCCTCTCATGGCGACTCCACTGTGGACTGTTGGGACTCAGCCCTCACCGCTGTAGGCCTCTGCGCTTATTGCTCCTTTGCTGAACAAACATATGTGTGAGGTTTGAAGATTCACGCAAAGCTCCATTTTCAGAAAGCAGGGACCTCAATCGTGGGTCATCAGGTCCCTCATAGAAGTGCCACTTTCATCTGCATTATCTCACTGATTGCTCAAAACTCAGGAGCTGTGGAGGCTGGGTGTTGGGATCCATTTACAGATCTGAAAACTGCAGCTCGAAGGTGTTAAGGAGGTGCCTGAGGCCCCACACCCAGAAGACGCAGGACATCGTCAAGTTTAAGTCCAGGTCTCATTCCTGCGTAGACAGGACTCCTGGTTTCCAGTTCTAGCTCTGTGGAGTCTGTGTCATGGCTTCCTCATGGAGCATTAAATGAGATCATGTATATTAAGGTTTTTGGATACTAAAATGTAAACAGTTTTAAAAGTCTTTCTTCCTTTTTATTACGCAACATAAGTAGCTTTAAATGTTTCACAATTATGTATTTTTTCCCCTTCAGATTAGCTCCTTTGAATGCATAACCCAAAGTGAAATAATTGAGTATCAAACGTTATGAGCCATTTTACACATCTCATTGTGTATTGCCAGTCCATTTTCCAGGTGACAAAATCAAGTTACCAGGCTACCACAACAGAACTATTTCTAAATATTCCAACTACTTTACTTGTTTGCATTTTTACTGGGTGTTCCCCCTTAGATTGGATTATACTTATGTAGATAAAAATATACATGTTTCTGTGTAATAAGTTATTAATGACATTTGTCTCTTTTGATATTAATTAACTACAATCAGGGCAATGACCTCATTCACTATTTAAAAGTATTTTGGGGTGCTTTTGTATATTTTGTGGAGTAAAGTTTTATAATATATATTATTTGTTCACTTGTTGATGTACTTTATTATATATTATATATTATATATATGATATCGGATGATTTTAAGAATATGTAAAACTATTTCTGTTGTTGATGTCTATTTAATCATTAATCATAGCACACCTCATCAGCAAGAGTACCTGCATAATAAACATTTGTATACCTAACCCTGAATTGCACCCCCCATCTTTAATAAAGAAAGAATCAAAAAATCAGCCGGGCGTGGTAGCGCACGCCTGTAATTCCGGCTACTTGGAAGGCTGAGACGGAAGGATCACCAGAGCCCAGCAGGTCGAGGCTGCAGTGGCCAGGAGCGGCCACTGCACTCCAGTCTGGGCGACAGAGTGAGACTCCAACTCAAAAAAAAAAAAAGAAAGAAAGAAAGAAAGAAAGCCGGGCTCTGTGGCTCAGTCTGTAATCCCACGCCTTTGGGAGGCTGAGGTGAGTGGAATGTCTGAGCCCGTGGGTTCGAGACCCACCTGGGCAACTTGGCAAGACCTCATCTCTACAAATAAATCAAAAATGAGCCGGGTGTGGTAGTGTGCACCTGTAGTTCCAGCTACTTGGAAGGCTGAGGCAGAAGGATCGCCGGAGCCCAGCAGGTCAAGGCTGCGGTGGCCAGGAGTGGCCACTGCACTCCAGTCTGGGTGACAGAGTGAGATGCCAACTCAAAAAAAAAAAAAAGAAAAAAAGAAAAAATAATCATAGCTAGGCCAAAAACACTCTTCAGACTTCTAGTTATTTTGATATAATTAAAACTGTAGAAACTTTTGTGATACACCTGAAATTCTTATAATGTGTTATGTGCTTACACAGGTCAATTTTATTTCTTTCCCATCATGACATCCAGTGATCTCAAATATATTATAATTTATTTCCCTTTTACCTTGAATGTCTTTTAATAGCCTGAATCTATTTCTGGAATTCTTATGTAATTATAATGAAGTTTCTGCATTTAGTGTAGACACGGTTATAATAGTTGTTTGATAATATGTTTTAAAATTTTGAAGATTAAAAGTTTATTTCTCTTTTTTTTTTTTGATAAAAAAATGTCTCATGGAGAAGATATAGCAGTTTTTGGAAATTGATATAAAAAATGGGATGCTCTCAGAGAAAGGTGCCCTAACAATATTAATAAAGTCTATAAACAGCTGAACAGCAAGAAGGCGAGCTTATTCAACTGTAATGAGGTCACCACCCATTGGACATTTAAGGTTCAATTCCAGTTCTGTGGTTATGGGTAGATAGGGAAGTTTTAACTGAAGAAGTATCACTAAAAATTAAAAACTGATAACATGGGTTTTTGTTTGTTTGTTTG